CCTCTACATCCTCTTCCTGAGCACCAACAAAAACCCACCCCAGAAAAGAATCGCCCTTGGCCGCTCTTCAGGCACCACTGGCAGAGTACCTGCCCGACTTTAGAGGTCACCAGCTGGGCGGCACAAGGAGGGTCTCCCTTTCTCCAGCAGCAATGGCTTTCCCAAAATACAGGCCTGCTGGGCCACCATCCAGTTGTGTGACACTCAGCAAATCCACTAGCCTCCCGATGGGTCATATCTCCCATCTGTAAAATGGACCTCACCGGAGTGCACACCTCAAGGGCGAGGGCTCCATGAGGGGAAGTGTCTGTAAAGCATTTCGCACAGGGTGACACACCGGAGCTAAAAGTATCAGCTGGTAGAAACCCCAGAAGCTTAAAGCCTGGGAAGGCGCAGGGTCAACTCAATCCCGGGAACTGAGCTTCAAGGCATCACACTCCAACCTGAAAACCACCTGGAATGATCGCCTCCTTCGTGGAAGGGTTCTTCCCAGCCTGGTGACCATTACTCTTTCTCTTCCACTGGACACGAAGGTCCTTGGGTCCTACGCGTATCTATGTCTCCACCTTTAACAAGGGGATTGGCGTTGGCACCTGGCAGACGGACATAAATCTTTGTCGGATGAATAAAAATTTGTCCAGTATTTGTAGGTCCATCTATCTTTGATACTAGATTATAATTATTTAGGAGCGAGGTCCTAAAGTCTTGCTTTAGTCAAGATTTATTAAATGAATGACAGAAAAATTCCAAACCATGAATCAAGTAACTTCAACCCAGCTCAGTCACTTACCAGCTGTGCAACCTTGGAAAAGTCGATTGACACTTCTGTGCCTCGTGTTCCCCACCTTGAGGATGAGACGTTTGGATGACACATTCGCCAAGGTCCCTAACACTCTGAAATTGGGTTTGTGCCTTAGCTGCCAAGTGGTACCTCAACCACCGTGCATATGATGGCCACACACCCATGGCTAAGCAGGTCAACTTTGCTTCTCTGATCTCCAGTTTTCTATCACCAGGCTATGAATAGCTTTGGGTCAATGCTTAAAATACTCACTTTTGGTCAACTCACCTGGCTTGCTAGGTGAGGATGCCCTATTATCCTAAGCTAGTTCTCTGGTGGCTGGAAGCACTCTGGTAGACAAGGACACCCTCTGCCCACCAGTCCTGCCCCTCCCATCCCAGAGACCATGCCTCCAGCTCAGGCACACCTTGTACTGCCACACATCAGGTAAACTGGTGTGGGGAGAAAGTTGACCTTGACCTTGGGCACTGAGGCAACCCCATGACACCTCTCCCCAAAGGGGTTTGGGTTTGGAGTTTGGGGCAGTGCTTTGTGTAGCCTGAAGGTCCAAGAAATTTGGCTCAAAGAAAGCACATGCCGCAAGATGACACCAAGGTTCACCCATAGCCCTGACCAAAACTGTATCAAAACAAAGCTTGTGCAATAGCTGAGGCCCAAATTCAAGACTTCAGGGGGGGGGGGAGGGACCCTACTAGAAAGAGGAACTAAAATGGTTAATTTCCCCCCTTTTGAGGCCTTATATAGATTATTTTATTCAACTCTCATAAGTCCAAGAAGCTGGTACTATTAGCGGCCACTTCATGGATGAGGAAGCTGAGATTTCAAAGACACACAGCTTGCCTAAAGTCACAAAGCTAGAAAGGATCACGTAAAGGCTTGAATGCAAGCCAGGGTTTTTAGCTTCTTTGCAAGAGTGCCTTGATGTTGGACTCAATAATCACAAGCCACTCTGAGTCCTTGTCTCGTGAATGTGGCTGCGAGACCGCATCTGGGGATGTGAAGGGGTGCTGCTTGGACCACGGGGAGGGCTGAACCAGTCGACTCCAAGCTCTGACTCTGCAACTCTCTTCAGAACTGCATTTCAGAGAACATGGAAAGTGATGCTGGGTCTTGGTGTGCTTTATTCGGAAGGCCCTTCCGGATGTACCATCAAAGCAACTACATTCTAGCCTGGCACGGTGGTGCACGCCTGTAATCCCAGTGGCTCAGGAGGCTGAGGCAGGAGGATTGCAAGTTCAAAGCCAGCCTCCGCAAAAGCGAGGCTCTAAGCAACTCAGTGAGACCCTGACTCTAAGTAAAATACAAAATAGGGCTGGGGATGCAGCTCAGTGGTTGAGTGCCTCTGAGTTCAATCCCTGGTACCCCCCCCCCAAAAAAAAGGCAACAATATTCTCATGTTAAAAAAAAAAAAAGTCTCTCCTTTCTGAGCAGGGGCCCTGCTTTCAACAGGAATGTTGGCGATCCCCAGCACCTGACTCATTGGCAAGACAGGTTAGAACCACTGCCCCTTCTGAGAAAGGTTTTAAAAGACATTACATCAGCATCGTGCCCAGAGATGGAACAGGCAGAATCAAGACCACACTCTCTCAAGGCTCTTGGACTGAACCTTAAGAGCAAGTTGTGATATTTCATGCATCCCTAGAACCAGAAGAAAACTCCATGTTCATACATTGGACAAAATTTCTTGCAGCTCCTGACAGATTCTGCATCACTGGGTACTGAATGGGCAGAACAACTTAATAACTGATTTTCTTTGTTTATTTGTGTGTTTCGTATTATTTTCTGTTCAGCCAAGCACAGAAAATTTTCCACCTGACAATTCTTGTTTCTCACTTCAGTTCTTGCACCATCTGTGAGGAGTGTGCTCAGGAGGGGGGAGGACTTGGGTCCAAGGTTTTCCCTTCTCCAAACCTCAGTCTTCCCATCTGTTAAATGCAAGGTGTTCACCAGAGAATCTTGCTCAGCTATCCAGAAAAAAAAAAAAAAAAAAAACAGTCCCATGGATAAATGAAGCAGTTTGGGGACTGCCAGTTTCTGGGACTGGATCTGCTGCCAGCTTCAAAATCTTTACATAATTTTTGAGTAAAACAAGAGATTTAGCTGAAATTAATAGCACGATGGAAAAGTCAACTAGGGCTGCGCAGTAAGGGCCCGCTCATCTTCCAGCTGAGAAAAGAGCCTCTATCGTTCTCAGGGCTCCCCCTAGTGGCCGTGAGGCAAAAATCCTGGAGGAACGCTCACAGTTTCTGCAAACAAAAAGCAAGACACCCACCAAAAGAGAAAGACGGGCTCCTGCCTACTGATGCAAATCCTTTTGCTCTAACTTAGTCTGTGGATCAGATAGCTAGAAGAACGCGTGACAGGAAGCGCCAGGGAAGCTTGGGAAGGCGTCTGCCATAAGACAGGGTTGCATTCTTTCAAAGAGTACAGACTCCCTAGCTCTTAGGTGTTGGGGTCTCTTCACAGATCCCAGACACGCCCTTCCCAACCAACCCCTCACATTCTCACATCCTCAACCTGCACCTCGAACTGCATCTGTTTTTCATTATCATGCTTTCCAACTTCCTAGTGCGATTCTTCAACAGCTATTAAGACAACACAAGCAAAGAACTAAGCTTAGTTTTTGCTTATTCAACATCCAGCCTGGGGAATATCACCTCAGAAGAAAAGCATGAATGAAGTGCGCATTTCTCATTCTCTTCTGCAAACCCAAAAGCCCGTTCTTCAAAGGACATCTTCCCAACCATATCCTCTTTAGGATTTTCAACCTGCAAAAATGGTACCTGGGCAGAGTAAAGTTTCAACTTGCATGCCACAATTCATTGATTAAAGAGGAAGCTTTTTTAAAAAAAAAAAAAGGACACCATCCTGAATTTCCAATTAATCAATAATAGACTTTGTTTTAAGTTATAAGATTAAGTTGTATTGACACAAATAGCAAATCTGAGAAATGAAGGAGTTATCCAGGCATCCAGATATTTGAGAATTTAAGGGCTGGACCTTGTTGATTAGTAGCCTTTTTTTTTTTTTTCCCAACAGAACTGTCCCTACACAAATGCAAAAGGAAAATGTCAACACTGGCACTTCAGTTGATAGCTCATTTTGCTTTCCCTGTGACCATCTGTTAGATTTATTAGCGACCCTGGGCCTTGAAACACCCCCAAAAGTGCACATAAGGAGCCTCATAATTAGTTTCTGACTTTGGCCCTAAATCGATTAAAATTACATCTGATCTGCTTTAAATCAAAGAACCATGTTAATGTTCTGCCACACACCACACAAAATCTTTCTGCAACAGTCAGTCACTTTGAACCCAACTCTCTAGCCACAAGCCGTGTGGATTTCAAGGGCCTGTTCTGCAGAAAGGAAAAATGACAACAAACCAAGACAGGGACAAAACTAAGGCACTCAAAGCACTTCTTGGAGCTGTGCAAATCGTGCTGGCACCCTGGCAAGGTTTCAGCTGTCACAGGGCAGCTGGCCAGACCCCTTAAGCAATTTAGTAGTCCTGAGGTCAGGACCTGAAACACAAGGGAGCCCCGGCACTACTCAGAGCTGCATCTGAATGGCTACCATGCCGGGGGCATTTCAGTCTTCCCAGAAGTCACGATGCAAACTGTCACAATCCTCAGGCATGCAGTAGCAGCCTTCACTTCTGCTTCCTAACCTTCTCTCTTAAAAAACAGGCAGGAGTTTGCCCTCCTTTGCAGGGTCAGCGTCGGGTGATGGGGAATCAGTGGAGGGATGCAGAGTCTGTGGGTAAACGGGGCAGGGGGAGGGGGGGGATAGGGAGACAACTATAGGACATAGACTTGAGGGACCAGCTCTGGGCTGAGGAGGATAAGTCTTTCTGAGTAATAAGACATTCGGGGGCATAATCTGATGTGTCCGGCGGGGCAGACCCTACTGTCCCAAAACTGCAAACTGTTCACATATCCTAGCCACTACTTTGCTGTTTGGATAAAAGGGGAGAACACCCCAAAATATGTGCAGACAGGATGTAACAAGTGTTTCAAGAGACACACGCCTGAGTCACAGGGTCCCGGGAGGAAAACGAAGAGTCTGTCTGCGGGACCCTCAAGAAGCCCTCTCTTGGCAGGAGAGCTCCAGCGCCCACAGATTCCCGCCCTGCACGCCCTGGGTCTGCAGCTGCAAGGAGCCAGCGCGCCCCCCCCCCTCCGGGAACATCCCCACTCACCACTCGGCCCGAAAATCTCTCGGTGGCCCTCTTGACTTTGCCGTAGGTGCCTTTGCCCAGGGTCTCCTGAAGCTCATAGCGGTGCTTTAAGTTGTGCTTGTGATGATGCCGCTTCACCCCGTGCGGTTTCCTGGGCTCCGGGGCCGCAGCCACCGCGGG